CGTAACGGTCAGGGAGGCGCCAGAAGATCGCGATCAAGTGACACCGGGCATATGGGCGATTAATCCGCCGGTGGAGAAACCACGGACATGGAAGGACTGCGAGAAGAGGATAGCCGAGGTGAAGTCGAGGACGACAGCCTGGATCAGCTACATCCGAGGGGGCAAGATCAAAGAACATCGCCGTCGGAACGCGGTGGGTCGGATTCAATGATGAGTGTACGGCCTGGGACAGGACATGTGACCGGTGATCCATTGAACGACAAGTGCACCACGTCTATGTCAAAAAAAACGGACATGGATCCATCACCTGTTGTGGAAGATCAACCAGGCACATCTGATCTGGATCTTACGTGGGACTCAGATCAAGATTATGATGAATGCGTGTATTACCATGAAGGAAGCGATTTATACGCCGAAGATGTCGATGGTCAGATGGCGGTGCTGCCAGAAGTCCCTGTGACGACGGAAGATGTGAGGATCGAAGATATTCAGCTATGCGGATCTGATAACCAGACCCCAGAGGAAATCGAGCGACTTCGCCAGAAGATCTGGAAATCCCGACATTTCTTGATCGGTAAGAGAAATGCCCTTCCACCGGCAGCTAGAGGCGTGGTGTGCGATATCGATGTCGGGGGAGCGAGACCCATCGCCCTCAAGTGCCGTAAGTTGCGGATCCAGTTCAGGGAGAAGCTGGCAGACCTGATCAAGGGTCTATTGTCCGCTAAGATGATCAACTATTCCAGATCACCATGGGCTTCCCCCATCGTGGTGATCATTAAGAAGATGGGGTGGACATCAGGCTATGTATCGATTATCGGTTGGTTAATAGCCAGACACAAGTGATGGTAAACCCAATGCCCTTGATCAACGATCTACTCGAAGATCTGGAGTCGACGCTTTGGTACTGTTCTTTGGATATGGCAAGTGGATTTTGGGTAGTGAAAATGACGGATCGCGCTCGTTTAATCTCGGCTTTTATCACTCCTATTTGGGTTATTTGAGTGGAATCGAATGCCTTTTGGCCTGACGAATGAACCCCAGATTTATCAACGTATGATCG